GTACTTCTGTGAAGGAATCCCCTTCCGCTGCGGGATCCAAAACAGAGAAGAATGGGCGCCTTCTTCGACCAAGGAAGGCGCCCATTCTTCTCTGTAAGCTCTCTGTGGAAAAAAGGGGATTCCTTTAGAGAGGCACATGCCGCCCGCAAGGCAAGAAGGAATAGTTAGTTCCTCAAACTCTTCTTCTAAGGAATGAATTCAAGAGGAAGTGTTACTTTCATCAGTCACAAAAGACTGGTTACATGTTCACCCATTTGACTGCCTTTACGGCTGTCATAGAGATTGTTTGGCGATTGATGAAGCACTTTACTCTGGAGCTGTTTTTGAGTAAATTTTTTGTCTCTGTGAAGGAATTTTGAGACTTGTGTCAGGGAAATGTGGCAAAACGACACGAATCGCGCTGAGTAAAGCTCTCGAATGCCTCGCTTGTCACCCACGCGTTCATCAGGCTGTTAGCGCGCACCACACATTCAAGGGCGATCGTGGACACTTAGCAGAGTGATGCTTTATGCACCTCTATACTTCTATGTTCATTACAGACAATTGATGCAAAAATTTGTATTTTTCAAACAGTGAACTTTGAAGTATAGAAACACTTAGCGCAACCCTCTCACAAGAGTGCATGATCACGCTTGAACACGTGGCGCGTGGTAGGAGCCTAATGCACGCGTAGATCACAAACAAGGCATTTGAGAACGTTTCTCAGCGTGACTCCTGACTTTTTTGATCGGCTCTTTAAATATTTTTTTAAACATTAATGTAACAAATCTGAATTGTTTAAGTTTACCTCTTCGGGAGAATGAGAAATCAAGTTGCGGAGCATTCACTTTTCCTGCTGCTCAGAATTCTTCTTGAACACCTCATCCACTTCTCTTGTGTAGCCAAGCGTTGGATCTCTCTTGGTAAGAAGTCTAAACTTCGGCATTCTCGCGATCAATGGCGAAAAGATATAAACAAAAAGAAAAACCTCGAAGGCAAAACGATCGAGCATGTACACCTCTTCCAAGAACAATTTTTGGAAGCTTACTGCTCTAAACAGTCTTATAATACATCTTAGAAACGCGATTTCTCTGTTGATCTCACACTCCCCCGAATGACTTTTTAAATCGCGTCCTCAAAAGTTAGAGAACGAACCGCTGTAGATCTGTTGTTGTTACGTGTAGTTCACAAACTGGCCAATCACATCCACTCGTTTGGTTTATTGAAATCGAGTGGATGTGATTGGTCGAAGATTCCTAATGTACAGGACGTGATTGGCTACCACTCAGTATGTTTCTCTGTCCTCGACCAGAGGAACACTGGTACTAAACTATCACTGTAAGAACAGTGGCGTTAGTAGACACAGAAATTTATAATCTCCTGCAAGTATGAATGTGTTTGGGAGAAGGTATGGAGTTAATTGACTCTATTCTTGCCAGGATACATATGATTTGTCTGTTTGAAAACATTCTGTACATTATTTTTTTTTTTTGAAAGTATCTTGTGAGCTGTAGTGGCAGCCGTGATCGTATAGTGGTTAGTACATTGCGTTGTGGCCGCAATAACCCAGGTTCGAATCCTGGTCACGGCACTTTTTTTTTTTACTATTAACTAATGTCTATTTTTACTCTTCGTAAATTTTTATTTTTCAATAGTCCTCTTTGACGAGTCCGCTCCGCATTAAAGACATAAGACATTCTTGAGGATAAAATGCAAACCGAAACTCGTTCCAATGTTTTCCGTTCTACTCTCCCTCCTGGTTTGTCCGAGGAATACGTTTGGAAGAAAAACTCTTGAGCCCCGTCCGAGGAATAGTGCATCCACGACACCAGAACGAGTGCTCGCAAAATGAGCTTTCTAACAGCAATGTAGCGCGCTCGCCCTTGGGAGGACATGGATCGTGCGTGTGAACTGTTCTGCCACAAAGCATGAGCACGCTTGCACCTAACTTGCCACGTGCCTCTCCAGTTTGGTGAATTTGTCTTATCATGACGTCTTTGCTTTTGATAACGAGGACGAGCATAGAATAATTTCGAAAGAGAACAGAATCGTGAATAATATCAGCTATAAAGAAGTAGAATGAGCTGAGTACTCCACTCTCTAGTTACCTGAAGTCAACCCTTACCGTTCATTTAAATTTTTAGTTATCTTCATTCACTTTTTCAAACATTTTCCACTGCTGTTCACAGGATGCTGTTAAATAGACATTGTCAGATCACTCACTCGACAAGCAGTTGTGATCTTTAACAGTCACTGTATTTCATATCATTTCGAAACAAAATATCAGCATTCTTCGAAAGCACCAAAAGAGAACGAAGAAACAATTAAAAAAAATTAAAAATAACATAGAGCATTTACTTGGGTATAAATAAAATGAGAGGAAGAAAAAGGAGATGGAGAAAAAAGAAACCGTTTTATGAGTGCCGTGACCAGGATTCGAACCTGGGTTATTGCGGCCACAACGCAATGTACTAACCACTATACGATCACGGCTGTCATTCCAGCTAACGTAAAATAATCTGTGGAATTTAAGAATGGTTTTAGAGTTAAAAACAAAAAACAAAACAAAACAAACAAACAAACAAACAAAAAAGCCAAACAATAACAACAACGAAGGCAGCAAAGAACAACAACAAGAGAAACAAACAAAAAAACAAAACAATAAATGATAACATCTAAGGCATCAGGAAAAGATAAATTATTAATGGATGATAAAGGGACAGATGAAAGCGTGAGTGACAATTTAAGAGTGCGTTCCTTTGGGAGAATCCGGATCAGGATTTCTGATCTGTGACGTTCTTTTCGAGCAAATCCATTTTCAGATCAGTGATCGATCAAATCCACTCTGGACTAGGATTCATCGGATCACTTATCTGCGTGATCTGAAGACGGATCATTAGATCACTGATCCGACGCGTTCCTTTGGGCGAAGTATCCGAAATTAATCATTTTGCCCAGCGGTGCTTAATTTCAAACAAGTAGGTGCTTCATATATTGACCGGAAAGATTGTTGGCAATCGCTCCACTAATATTCTGCGATAAACACGAAATAAAATCGATTTTGTGATATTAAGTCAATCGGCCACTGTCCGCAGGCATTCAGGGTTCCAAGTATCCATAACATAATCAATACTTGCTTCTGTTTTAATTCCATCGTTTGAGTTTACCATGAAAAAAATGTGTTTTCTAATGAATAGTGCGCGCTAAAAGCCCGTGCAGTTAGACGAGCCATTCAAGGAAGAGCTCAGTAACCCACGTGCATACAAAACTCTTAATATAGCACACTTTTTGGAATTTTCTGAGAGCTCGTCTAAAACTCAATTCCTTACATGCAGCGTGATCTGTGTGATCTTAGATCACAAATCCAAATCCGGATCCTCCCAAAGGAACGCACCCTAAGTTTGAGTATGGCGGGATTCGTTGTTACATCTGATTGGAATACCGTTAGGTCGAGATGGCGGCGCGCGATTTTCAGATCAATCCCAGAGTGAGGTATAGCAAAACAAGTGTAGTTTCAAATATTTTTAACAGTTAGATAGATAGAGATCGCTCTAATCCAAAAGAGATCCTTTTTTTATCATCAGACAGAAGAACGTTATTTCTAAAATTATCAATGGCAACAGAGTTCAGTGTAGTTTCATTTTATTCAAAAGTACACCTTAACCCTTTAACTCCCAAGATCTGATTGTTACGTGCGATAGGCACAGCCTGTGCGTGGCTTACCTTGGCGAGGGAGAGCGAAAAAAAAATTTAGCCCTTACTCGTTAGAAAGTATACCTACTTTACGTGCAGGCTGTATTACAATAATAAATTTCCGCCTGTTCAAAACTTTAATCCTTGAGGTTTTCATTTCACACTAACAAATTGCAATCATATATTTCCTAGTAATAATTTTTTTCCTCAAAATTCAATAATGATAATAATAATAATAACGATGATGATAATGATGATCTTAATAATAATATTATTATCATCATGGTATATAACATAAAATAAATGCCTTTCTGACAGGTTTGTGATAGATAATAAGAAAAATACTCACTTTGTAAAAATTCTTTGATTAAATTATGAATACTAACTAGTCAATTAACAAGGGTAAATGAGTTAAAACATTTAAAATGTTTGTGCTTTGATTGACTTAGACCTGGAGTGCTCTCACGGTGTGACAGAACCACGACTGGAACCCAGACCTCTCTATCCAGAGTCCAGGGTCTGGTTGTTCAAAGCTGGTTTAAGATAACCCAGGTTTATTGTGAAATCTGATTTCAGATTTGAAAGCTTTAAAAGAAAATTCAGTAACAATTCTTTGACTACAATTTTATGATTGGATTTCCTAAAAAGAGTCGAGGAAATTATAAAGAAATCCAGATTAAAATTTAACCCTGGGTTAGTGCCAAACAGACTTTGAACAACCAGGCCCTGGCCAGTGCATCAACTCTATACCCATAAGAGTGACTAGCTTCTAGTTTCTTTATATAATATCACCCCTGAATTACACAATAAGGTCACAAGAATAAAGTAAATGATCACAAACTAAAGAAGCTTTGATTGTTTATAGACAAATTCTCCTTGTCAGCACCTTAGGAAATGTATAGGCAACAGTATGGAGAATATGCATACTGATGTTAGGGTGTAAAGGGATAACCATAAGGACTCTGCATCCTTCAAAAAATAATCATTCACTATCTTAAATTCACACACACATTACATTACTTGAGGACAGAAAAATAATATTTTTTCAAAATATTAACCAATTATTTCATAATTAACAGTATCATTAAAGGACAATGGTTCACAACTCATGTGTTTTACTCTTGTCAAATGCATGCATGATTCCTCTGTCTGCATATACGTAAGAACCCTAGGGCGAGTTAAATTTAATTCCATAATTTTTAACATATACTTTGAGTAGATATATGCAATGTACATTCAATATCAATGTGTTCGAGTGAAAATACAATTACACCATAATTATTTTCTTCCACAGATATGTACACCTATATTTTATACGAATATAATGATCACTAAATGTGTGGACTATTTTGAATCGTCATTTAACAGTTACATAAAAAACATTTACACACCTCAGTATCTTTTTGCATAAATGATTCATCAACTATCCTTGTGATAGTATTTACCTTGTTATAATAGCAAACTAATGTAAATTAAAACACTGGTGGATATGGTAAGCCACACCCAAAAATTTGGTTACAAATAAGGGTGTGGCTCTTCTGCAAGAACATCTTGAAAATGTGCTGCAAATTTGCATAAATTTACTCTTTTTATGAAATTTTATGAAAAACACAATTTATGAAAATTCCTAAGTCTTTCAAACAAACTAACACATTAATCCTTTACACTCTTAGAGTGACATGCATCTGATTTCTCTTAATAGTATCGCTGCCAAATTAAACTTTGAGGTCATGTCAGCATCTTAAGAAATGTAAAGAAAATAGTTTGGAGAAAATTAGCATGTTAAGGGTTAATCATTTTCATTAGGCTTATCAGTCAGTGTAGCTCATCTACCAGTGTGGGCTACTGCCAGTGCTGCTTATCTGCCAGTGCACCTCTGTCTACTGGTGTTTACAGTTAGTTAGAGCTCTTTTCAATTTAGTGACACTGAATTAAAACCAAAAGTTATCTGAGCAGCCAGTTAAGGGATGTGAAATATCACAATGAACAAATTCAAACTCAAAGTAAAAACAAGCCCCTTGCTTGAGGCCTGGAAAAGCACTTAGTCTAGTGAAATCAATGAGTCTGGATTTGTTTTGGTTCTGCATCTGATTGGATGAGAAGGTGGCATAAGTTTTTTAAGACCAATCACAGAGCAACGTAGAGCAAAACTACTGCAAACACTGATTATTCAAATGAAAATTGCTCTACTTTTTAGGTAGTATAACCCATAAAAACCTGGCTCATCTGCCATGCCACATACTTCTTGTACATCTGAAAATGGATGTAGTTTCCGTGGGAAAGATTATAGAACACTAAGTTTAAAGACACTAGGACTGAAACCTGTACCAAACATCTAAAAGTCCATGGTTCTATTCCCAATAGATTCAATTTTGATTTTAATACTGACTTACTGGTTGGACCATTAACTGCTGACTGACTGATTCACAGACTTATTGAATGAGTGACTGACTGAAAGAATAAGTGCGTAAAGGGGGTGAGTTTCTAAAGAAACTGTGGTGCTGTGTTTGTAGGGGAGTATAACAAGGTAATTTGGTTTTATTAACTGAATTCATTAGGTAATATTAATTGGCCACTGTAAAGAGTTTCAAAGCTGACGTTTTCGAGCAGAAAAGGGCTAATGCTCAAAACGTCAGCTTTGAAACTCTTAACCATGACCAATTTACATTTATCAACTCAGTTGATGAAACCAAATTATCCTGAAAGAATAAGTGACCGACTCACTGAATAACTCCATGATATATTGACTGACCAATTGACTCACTGACAAACGGCTACCTGATTCTGACCAACTGACTGATAACTAACTAATGATTGACGGAATGACTGCCTGAATTATTGAAAAAAAAATTACTGACGGACTGCATGACTAACCTTAGCATGTAGAGCAAATAGGGGATTACAAGCCACACGAGTGAAAATGAAATATACCCCTCACAAAAAATTTTACCTGTTTGGTTGTCACCCACCAATGAGAATCATTGGGCGATTCTTTTGTTTAGCGATGTTGAACATTCCTGTGAGAGGAGACAGTGATAAACAGTTAGTTTCAATAGTGTAAGTGGTGAGACTGCAAGACTGAGTAAAATATGGTTATGCTGCTAACAGGATGCAAAAGTACTGTTCATTGCAAAGCAAACAAAGTACTTTTCTGAAATTAAAATAACAATCACTTTGTTGTCTGATTAACTCTTTATTAACATGTAACGTCTCCCTATGATATTCATATGTTTTCTAGCAAAAGGTTCACAATAATACTCAAACTTATCAAAAAGGAGTTTTATCTCGATCTTACACCAAATTCTCATAACTAATTTACAAGGAATTGTGTAGCAGCAAGAGGGGAGAATTAACAATCAGATCTTGGGAGTTAAAAGGTAAAATCAAGTCTTGTTCTTAAACAAGGCAAACCACTAATCTTACAGTGCTCTTATTCCCTCTAAATGAGTATAAATGGGTATTGTCAAATTGTCATGGAAATCTTACATCCTTTCGGTGGGGAAGAATAGTTATGTTGTCTACTCTTTAAAAACTTAACCCTTTACACCCATTGCATATTCTCCATACTGTTCTCTAAACATTTCCTAGGGTGCCAATGAGGAGAATTTGTCTAACAATCAAGAGCTTCTTTAATCAGTGATCAGTTCTTTATACTCCTGACCTTAATGTTTGATTCAGGGGTGATATGGTAAGGAGAAATTAGATGCCAGTCACTCTTATGGGTTAATGCTATGGAAATCAGACTGGAGATAATCTCTCATTTTGTAGTCCACTTGGCTCACAGGACTGATCTGTTGCAGTCTGCAACTCTCAGTTTAAATGCATCATCTGACAATGTTCATTGGTAATATTCATGACTCCTTTTTGTATACACACCTGCATGTTGTTTCTTCTTCCTCCCTACTGCAGCACCGATGATCTCTAAAAGCTCCTCTTCACTGGTTCCTGCTCGCAGAGAATCTCGTAAAGATACTTCCGAGTTACCAAACAAACAAACCTTGAGAATATGAATGAAAAATGATTTATAAAAATAATGTACATAAGATGCCCAGAGGCATAGATGTGAAATGCTTAAATTGCTATCTACAGTCATCTACACTGAATACAACAAATTTAATGCTGAATCTTCAAAGTACAGGAATGAAATAAAAAAAATATACCTTTAGATTCCCATCTGCTGTGATCCTCAGCCTGTTGCAGCTTCCACAAAAATGCTCACTCATAGAGGTGATAAACCCAAATTGACCAGCAAAACCAGGAACCTTGTATGCCTGAACAAATCATAAATTAAAAAGGATCATTTTAGATTGCACAGCCTGACAGTACATAGATTTCAAAATTTATTGAAGACTTTGATTGACTAACTAACAGTTGACTGGCTGCCAACTAAATGCATCTAATTGATTAACAAACCATCTGTTTGACAGACTGACAGACAGATTTACTAACTGACTATGGACTAAACAAAGGTCTCACTAGCTAAGAACCAGCTTTTTTGCTAATGGACAGCCTGATCAATTGGTTGTTTGATTGCCTCCCTTAAGCATTGAATGATCTGCATACTTTCAATTGGTTTTATCCACTGAGTTGATAAATTAAATTGGCCACCATATATAGTCTCCAGAGCTGACATTTCAAGTGTTAGCCCTTTGTCAGATACCAAGCATCAACTGTCTGATAGACTGACTGTTTCATCAACTGATTGGGTGACTGAGGAACCAAACTATTAAATGAACTGACTGACTAACTAACTAACTAAAAGCAATTTGCCAGTCACTATGCCATACTTTTCATACCTTTGAGGTATCATTAGGATGGTCTGACACCTTCTCAACATTTGGCCATCTCTGAGATATGCTCTCCAACATCTCACTGAATGGAACAAACTTCTTGAAGTTCCACTTGTTACCTGAGAAAAAGCAGCCACAATAATTAAAATCTGTATCAAATTAATACTTAACTAGCATCTCATTTTTACTTTTAACTGTATTAATCCTTAAACTCCAATAAGTGAGCAGGTAAAAATTTCTCCTTACAATATCAATACAATATCAAGTAGATACGTTACAAGAGTAACAAAAATATCAATTAGGGGATTATTAGTTTATCCAATACAAAATTCTCATATCTAGCATCCTAAGAATTGTATCGCAGACAGTAAGGAGAATTGCTAATGAGATCTTGGGAGTGAAAGGGTTTATATTAATAATAAATACATTATCATTGAACTTACCATCAAATGGCATGTATTCTATGAACCTCACATCTATAACCTGGTATGATAAAAAAAAATACTTTATATGAGTTACAAATGAAATACTGATCTTAAACCTAATTCATATTTTCAAAAAGTTTTAATAATTTGATTCATTTAAAACATTAAATTATGCCATAAAATTTACCTTGAATGCTTTTACAACCAACCTGATACCCTCGAAATAAATAATAATCCCTACCCACTACTATACATTAAATAACAAATATTTAGAGTTCTACCTTATTCTGTGTCATTTCCACAAAGTTGCAGACTTCATCTTCATTCAATCCTCTCATTACCACACAATTCACCTGGTAGAAATATCCCATAAGGTAATTAACACAAAAATTGACATTAAATATCTTACAGCTGTATTAATCTAACAAAGTGTCACTATTATGTTAGGTATGCTTCATTTCTTGATTTATCTTGAATGGTAATACACAGCTAATCACCTTTCATAGTAAACAAAAAAATTTAACTCAAAAATACTAACAAAGAAATTGATAACTTAAGTGTTTCTTTAAACCACTCACTCCCAAGATCTCATTTATTTAGTAATCCTCCTTACTGTTTGCCACATAATTCTTACAATGCTAGTTCAGAGAATTTGGTATTGGATCAACTAATAATCCCCTAATTGATATTCTTTATTCTATATTCTCTTCACCTGTCAGTTTGATATTGTATTGATAATGTAAGGAGGAAATTCTGTCTCAGTCACTTAATAGGGGTTAAAGGGTTGTAGTGTGATCATTTGCAGGGCTCTAGGCTGTGGCCAATTTGATTTATTCCATTGTGTTAAAATGCTGGCTCCTCAAAATTATTTGGTCATTTTTGCCACATTATGTTTAACCCCAATCCTACCTTAACTGGGTCATAGCCAAGTTCTAAAGCAGAGTCAATGGATTCCATGACCTTATGCCAGCCTAAGAAACATTTGAAGGAAAATTTTTGGAGTTAGTTGACTGATTCATCACATCTTCACCAGCCCCTATGCTATAGAATTAGAAAAATTTACATCAATTATCACAACCAATCAGTGGATGGTCCTTTGAAAAAAATATACATTGTGCTGTCAAGCTATTGAAAATTAGGAGTTCTAACAAAATTTTTGACAAAATTGTCTTTGAATGAATTATAAGCTACAAACAACAGAATACGGAACTATTAATACTCTTTTCTTAATTAATTGCAATTCATTGCTCTGGCTTAGTCATGATTGCTCAGTGGTGAGAAGAATTGATTGTACTTTCTAACCCTACAAAATTACATTTATCATGAATAGTTGACTATTATTCAACCCTTTACACCTTAATGTCAATTATGCATATTCTCCATACTGTTCTCTATACATTTCCTAAGGTGCTGACAAGGAGAATTTGTCTAACAATCAAGAGCTAGTGATCATTTCCTTTATTCTCATGACCTTGATATTTCATTCAGGGGTAATATTGTAAGGAGAAAGTAAAAGCTAGTCACTCCTAAGGGTTAACAGATTGTTTATAAGTATCATACCTTTTCTTCTTGTAACAAACTCAAATTTCTGTGGCACCAAGGTATCAAGGCTGATGTTTAGTAAGTTAAGTCCAGCTTTTTTTAGTTGTGGTAACTTTCTTGCAAGTGTAATGCCATTTGTTGTCATTGCTAAAGTTTCAAGTCCCTCTATTCTTCCAAGTTCCTCTGTTCAATCATAAATATGTACAAAGTTATATTAAGTTTATATTAAACAATTAATTATTGAGTAACTATTTGCTTTATGCAAAGTCATGCTGAAGATTTGAGATAACCTGGAGACTTCTTAGAAGCAAAATATTCCAGTTGAGAAGCAGGAGGGTATAAACTTGTGGCCTCCACACTTCAAATCCAGCTTCCTTATGAAAAACTTGACTGGACTGCTCAAATCAAACTCAATAAACTTAAATTAAATTAAATTAAAAACTATAAACTTCAACAAATGTAAAGCTAATGCCGTTTGTCTTGTGAGTATTTAACATTTTTTGCATTTTTTGGCACTCAGCTCTAATCATTAAAATATTAATATCATTACTAACAATGACCCTATCAGTTCAATAGCCCTAAGCTTACTATTGCTAAGACATAAACTAATAAAAAATCTGGTCTTATACCATGGTGTTTATCTGCACAACCTGTTCACATATGACTTGTGCAGCTTATAAAAGTCTTTTCCTATACCAATCTTACCACAAAGTTCAACAATATCCTTGCGCACCAAAGGTTCACCGCCAGTAAGTCTGATTTTGTTGACTCCTTCCCTGACAAATAATTTTGCTAAAGATACAATTTCTTCTGTTGCTAAAAGTTCTGAGTTTGGAGACAGTTCCACACCTTCCTCTGGCATACAGTATTGACCTAAAAGTCAAGATAGTTATATATCAGTGGAAAGTTGTACTCAACAATTGAAAGACTTTCTTAACAGTTCATTGAACAGGTTACAATTCAAGTAATGAAGTTTTACAAAAAATCATACTAGAGAATGGAAAATATTGTTAAAAACTGGGCCTGAATGTAGTTGAGTTTTGATTAACACTGCATGCGAGTGCAGTCATGCATGTTGTTTTTAAGGGAGTGTTTATTCTTAGAAAAGGTGTAGGAGAATAAAAAAAAGTTTGTGTTTATAGAAAGAAAACCTGTGATTGCAACCTCAGGATACTAAACTTCTATTACCACAGAGGCATTCTCAAAAATATATAAATAAATGCACATTTGGTACTTACATCTTAGATTGCATTTTTCTGTTAGTGAAATTCTAAGATATGTGTGATGTCTTCCAAACTTGTCAGTTAAGAAGTCTGAAAGAGGTCTAATTTCTTGCTCTTTGAAATATTTTCTTTGTCTTGAGGAAATGATCTGTTGATTGATAATTTAACAATAACTGGTATCAACAAAATTGAACATGTATTAGTACTTTCAGGAAACTACTCAGACAAAGATCCCATCCATAATAGAAGGGAATCCTTTGCCCTGATTAAATTCCTTCTTTTCCTGTGGTATACTGTAGTTTAGAATGTAGAATGATTTCAAGTTAAAATGATTTGACACTTAGTTTCATCTGTATTTCTCTGTTTTTGAGAATAATCATAATTTTATCTCCCACAAAGGACAAATTTGAGCAAATCAAGCACCTTAAAAATCATTTTGCCTGGAAATTAATTTACATTACTGACAACAAATGTAACTAATAAACTTGACTGTATAACTTATACTTTGTAGCTAACAGCAAGTATAGTTTACCAGATTGAACATCATTAACTAGTACATTCTTAATAGCACATAAATGTAACAATAAAATATTGTTTAACGTGATTGATAAGACAATTGATTGGCTTATCAGAGGGAAGGGGAGAGGGTTTAATCCTTCTAGGTAACATAATGTACATTTTTGTTTATATTTCTCAGATTCATATACAGTCATATTGAGTATCTAACTCAAACAAAAAACTGTTAACATGGAGTCAACTTGACTGCTTGATTCATCATGCCGTGCTTGGTATATCTGCAAAGCTTAGCTTAGTAAGAGGTGTGATGCAAGAGGTATAATGCAAACTAAAAACAATCCAGAATGGATCTCAAACTAGCTGAAGTTTACGAAGAAAATTGGCCAGTTTCAGACCCATATCATCAACAGTTTGTGATAGATTCCACTCGATGTTTGCAGATTTACTTGACTGATGTAAGGAGATATTTTTTGGAAACGAAAAACTGTTGTTGCCACTTGCAATTGCGTGACACCCAGACAGATAAAGGTATGTATTTTCCTTCAACCTCTTGTCCGGTTTTGTCCTTTGAGAGAATCGTTCTCCAGGTGGACAGTTAAATCTAAAACATAATCTCTCAATGGAACTAAGTTGCTAGTGGAGATATGAATCAGTTGTCATGCATTAAATAAACAGAGACTTATCACTGTACTATCCACGCCGATGCTGAGAATTTAAAATTTTCGACTCACATTAATTCCCCAAGGTTGGATTCAATACAGTATTCTGAAATTGTTACAGAAAAATCTCTCTCCCTCAGATTCCCGCAATATTCTCAATTAAATGGGCCGGCAAATTAGTAAAAAGAATATGTGAGTTCAACAAGCGCCAGGGTTACACAATCCCTATGCAGATCAAATTTCCGAGCAGCGCAAAATAAATATATGAGAAATTGAGCTGAACATACGTCCTGAACATTGTCATCTTTCATGGGCTTTGTATGCTGTCGTCTTAGAAAAGCGCTTGCAATTCTACAGAATCTGACCCTCGTGCTGCCGGCGCTGGAAGGACAAAAACAGCGAATGGAACACTTGATCACATTTGCACCCGCCATATTGAGAATCCTTCAATAATTATCCTGGCCTTTAAGGGACTGGGTACTAAAACGTTTTCAATATGTCGGACGAGTTGTAGTCTGAGCCGCGTCTAAAGTAAAAGGCATATATTTTGTGTTTTTTTTAGCTCAGTTTCAAGTTTAATAAGGATTATGGCATCATCAGAGCAGAGTGTAACCAAGACTAGGGTTCCGAAAGTCGCAAAGGTTTGTATATCTTACGATTTTAACGAGAAATTGAAACAATTAGTTTGAATAGTGACAGGAAAACATGCACACGAGTATTTAGGATTCGATAAGCTACTGCAGCGCAATCTTCTCATATCCGAGCCATTTCTTTTTAGTTTCATCGTTCATTCGTGCACTGAGAAGAGTTAATATTTCCTACTTTTTTGACAAAGTTTGAATACCGCGGTATTCGACTTTGAGAGTAAACTTCGTGATCCACGACTTTACATTAAAAAACTCTTCAACAATTCGTTCAGGTGACTGGGATGATCTGTAATTTCAATAATGATCAAATTAAGGTTGTCGGAGAGAGGAAAATTGCATGTTAATGCAAGTTCTCTAGCCTCATTTGCATGATCTGGATCGTTACTCTCCTTTCTAGTTACCATAAATTTAATTGTAAATTGTTTGGGAGAATTTACATGCTTGCGATATCAAGAAAGCAAACATGAAGTAACAAGTTTGTTACAGTAGAGAAGTAAATTGAGTCTGAAGTATATGTATCAAAGCCCATTGGGTTAACATTCACTAAATTCATAGGTCTTGTTGGAATGTGATCGAAGCATGTGACTCATCAGGAAGTGTTATTTAATACCAGTTACAGCCATGAGCTTATAATCAGCTAATAAAATTTTGCAGAAGTTTCTGAGGGTGTCTACTTCAGGAAATCTTATTGGGTATTACAGCCAAACTTAATCCCAAGCTCAAACAGTTTACAATCTTCCTTGTTTTGCTTGATATGATTATCAAATTGTTACAACCAGTATAACACATCACTAAGTTTGCCTGCTTCAATTCTTGCCTCCAGTGTAAGACACCTGAAGTTGGTGTTATCCATTAAAAATAAATTTTGTTTAACATTATATTTTCAGGTGAAGAATAAAGCCCCAGCACCAGTTCAGATCACAGCTGAACAACTCTTGAGGGAAGCAAAGGAGAGACAGTTAGAATTGGTTCCACCAGTAAGTTAATTCCCAGATCAAATTTGTAATTCTTCTTACTGTCA